CCCAGAAAGTTAGAAAAAAACAATGGCAGATGTTCAAAAACCAATCCAATGTCATCTCATGATATTCTTAAGAGGTCCTACCTAAGAGGACTTACTAAGCAGGCAGAATTTATAATGAATGAAAGATTCATAAAATTCTGATTTTTAAAATAAAATTATATTTTTATAATTAGACAGGAGATATTTATACTTTAAGAAGGCCAAAGAAATCCAATAAATCATTTGGCCAATTAGATACAGGTGGTAGATTTGAAAAGTTATATAAGTAGACAGAAAGACTGATTACATATTCTGAACCTAAGGGATGCAAGTTGCAAAACAACCTTCTCCTTTGGACACAGTTTACACAGCAACCTAAAACAATGCATTTATAGTCTACACAGCAACATCCCCCCCCATAGAGATACCGGCTATAGATAACAATATTTTCTTGCAGCAGAAACATTTCTATAACTATATTTCATTTTATTTAGGCTAGTATTCTGTCAGTTTGCACTTACAATATCAACCTATATCCAGAACTGAATGCATTATGGGTAATAGTGAGAAGCTATTATGAAAATAAATTGAATCGTATTGATAACTTTCAACATTATCATTATAAATACTATAACACTAACTCATTAATTTAACCAAGTAAATTCCTTAAAAAAGCACTGGGGAGCCAGAGGGAGCGATAATGTAATAAGGACTATTACCTTTTAAAATATGCTTTGGACCTAAGTAAGTGTTCAAATGTCATTTGTTGGCAATATGAAAGAGGAAAATTGTGATAGCAGAAGGAATGGAAAAAAGTTCTTGAGTTCTGAGGAAGAAGAGTAGTAAGAACAAGTCATATAGATTTAGAAATGATGGAATCCCAGGCAATCCCTGTGGATCAGAGATAAAGAAGCTGGGGCCCACCAAAACATGGAGTATTCTAGGCTGTCCCAGATACACAGTTGTTAGAGCTGAGATCAAAACCATGGTCTTCTTTCTCCCTTTTCATTATTCTATTACAACAGACAACTGTGCTCTTTCCTGAAGAAACATTATTTTTTGTTTTCTCTCAAAATTTTCTTGTACTTTACCTATTTATTTTTATCATATTATTTTGTTCTAGGGGTACATTGTGATATCTACAAAAGTGCTCATAATATACCTTAGTTAAAATCACCCCTTCAAACATTCTCCTTTATTTCCCCTTCCCCCATTCCTGGGACAGTTTCAGTAAGTTTCACTTTTCCATTTATATACACAAGTACATAAAATTTCCACCATATTCATCCTCCTACAACCTTTCTTTATAACTCCCCCTTCCCACTGGTACCAATCCCCAGACAGGACCTGTTTTGCCTTCCAGTCCTCTATTTTAAAAAAAAAAAAAGACATTTCTGTTTAAGATATTTATACAGAGAGTTTCATTATGACATTTTCATGCATATATGTATTATATTCTGAATTGTTTCATCCCCTCCACTTTTTCCTTTCTGTCTGAGTCCTCTTATTATGGTGATTTCAACAAGTCTAAAAATTCCATATTCATTCTTGTATGGAAAGTACATCAACCTTGTTTATCTTCTTTACCTCCTTCTTTTATCCTCTCCCTTCTGTTAGTGTCCTCCCCTTAGCATGGCCTGTTTTTCATTCTTGTCCTTCATTGTTTAGGTGTGTTTGTTGTTCAGTGGACTTTTTGTCTATATATACCTGTACTTGCACTGTGCTTAAGTCAGTGTAACGCCCCCTCCACTGCACTTCCTTACCCTTTTCCCCCTATCCTGTGCTTAAGTTTTCAGCATATTTCCTTGTGTCTTGTTCCTACACAGATGTAATGTACTGTCTTGTTATTCACTATCTTCTTTTCCTCCTCCCTTGGTCTCCTCTATCAGGCCCACTTTTGGGTACATGCCCTGTATATATTTCTATGTATATATAATACTGTTCACATTTGTATTGGGTCTATATTCCACCTATGAGAGAAAATATGTGGCCATTGGCTTTCTGAACCTGGTTAATTAGATGATGTTCTCCAGTTCCATCCATTTACCTGCAAATGATAAAATTTCATTCTTCTTTGTGGCTGAATAAAATTCCACTGTATATAAACATCACATTTTTCTAATCCATTCATCAGTAGTGGCGCATCTTGACTGTTTCCATAGCTTAGCTATTGTGAATAATGCTGCAATAAACATGGGTGTGCAGGTCCCTTTATTGTAACCTGACTTACAATCCTTTGGGTATATCCCTAGGTGTGGAATTGGGGGATCATATGGCAGTTCTATTTTTACTTTTTTCAGGAGCCTCCATACTGTTTTCCATATTGTGTATGAGGGTTTCTTTTCCCCTGCATCCTCACCAACATTTGTTGTTTGTGTTCTTGATGATAGCCATTCTAACAGGAGTGAGGTAGAATCGTAATTTGATTTGATTTGCATTTCCTTTATGCCAGAGATGGTAAGCATTCTTTCATGTGTTTTTTAGTCATTTAGACTTCTTTCTTTCAAAAGGCTCTGTTCAATTCATCTGCCCATTTCTTCATTGGGTCACTGATTTGGGGAGAGTTTACAGTTTTTTGAGCTCCCTGTGTTATGAATCCCTTCTCAGATGTATAGCTGTGAAAGATTTTCTCCCTTTCTGTGGGCAGCCTCTTCCATTTGGTGACAGTTTCTTTTGTTGTGCAGAAGCTTTTTAATTTCATGTAGACTTATTTGCCAATCCTTTCTCTTAGAGTTGAGCCAATTGAGTTCTACTTAGGAAGTTATTTCCTATGCCTACAAGTTCCAGTGTATTCCCTATTCTTTCCTGCACTAGCTTCAAAGTTTCTAATACTAAGGTCCTTAATCCACTTTGAGTTGTTATTTGTATGGTGAAAGAAAAAAAATAGAGGAAATCATCAGAGCCAAGCAGTTCAATATGAGTATTTTTACATTTATATATTTCACTGACAAAAATAGAAGTATCTATTCAGTGTTTTATTTTCTTGCCATGCTTGTGGAAAAAACATGGGAAGATTTTAGTCATATGATTTCCTTGAGTTTTGAACCTTTCAATTTTCACTTAAAAAAATGTATTTGCAGTTTCCCCAGGTGAAGCAGAGTCTGTTCTCTTCCAATAGCAGCACTATTGTGAGGTTCATTCTCTCTTTGTGGTTTCCCATCTATTCCATTGAGAAGCAAGTGTGGCAATGGTGCTTTTAAGGTTTCTGGATGATCAATAAAGAATCAGTTACACAAAATTGTCATAGAGGTAACCCCCAGATTTTCAAGTCTCATTTTGTCATGAATTTTGAGCATGGGTATTACAGAGCAAATAATAACTTCTGTGTAGAAAGAAAGACAGTCCTTCCTCACATCAGTAACGCTTTTTGATTAATAGTGGAGTTTGTGTTCTGTCATTCTGTCGAATCCATCTCACATTCTTTTGTCATTTTTCCATCCATCCATCCATCCACCCACCCACTTTTATCACTGAGCTTTTTATTCAGCATTGACTAGCTAAAGAAAATCAGCTTTTAAAAGCAGCAAAACACTTTCATAAGGAATATTTGTTCTTCGTTAAAAAATCATCCTTCCACATAGCAAGCACTCCTGAAGCACAATACATGGAATGACAAATAGTCTGCTAGCCTCCTCAAGTTACATCTTTCTAAGTGCTTTAAAATGGGTACCTAAAGTGTACATCCATTATCTCATGGAGTTGCACAATGGTGTCATTGACACTACAACGAGATTGGGAGTACACGCCAGCTTTACTTTGGGTGTGTGTGTGTGTGTGTGTGTGTGTGTGTGTGTGTGTGTGTGTGTGTGTGTGTTTTAAACACTGCTTTGAGAAGGACTAGATAATCTTAAAGATTTTTTTTAAAAGGAGAAGATGATCGGTTGGGAAGGGGGTCTCAGGTTGTTCCATTGGCAACACAGGCATTCATAGAGTTTGGGGAGCAATCTAGAATGTCCTTGGCTGTAAAAATGCTGAAATGACACTGAATAGAGAGGCTTCAGTGACATTTGGACAATATACAACTCTATTAAAAGAATACATACAATGCCTCAGATTTGTTCTTCACTATAGTTTACTAAATATAATTTTACTTGAATCTGACAATATACTACAGGTGGGAGTACCATTAATTTCACTACAAAAATGTAATTGTGATAAGCAATCTAGCCAAGCCTGGGCTTTGCCTTTTGTTCTTTATCCTCTGTTTCCTTCTTCCTGTCAAAGGATAGTAATAAAAAAAAAGCAATGCCCAGTTTGAAAATGGAGAAATAAGTTCTCAATGAAAACATTATCTCTGAATATGAAACAGAAACACAAAGTATCTTCAACAAAACTAGAAGGCACAGTGACCACAAATCGTCCTGAGAACGTACTGCCAAATGCTGTAAAGTTCAAACAGGAAGATGCCTGGAGAGAATGCTTACATCTTGTGATCTCCAGATCCCCAAAGTGATTAGATCAATACCCTCCAAAATAGATCAGTTCCTTCTCTGAAACCATGGAAATGGGTGAGGACAAATAGATTTCCTGAACACTCAAGGCCAAAGGAAATATAGTTATGCACACTAACAATGGGAATACATTCTGAAAAATGCATTGTGGGATGATTTCATCACTGTGTGAACATTATGAAGTACAATTACATAAACCTGGATGATATAGGTAAATCATTTGATGCAATCAAGAGACGTGATGAACATGAGATGTATGAAGCAACTGCTGGGGTAACACAGCATACTATTCTGAAATAAACTTTTTAAGTAGGACTACACTCTAAAATGGGTAAATACATAAGCCAGTAATAGCCATTTATTACCAAGTATTATGTAAATAATTGTATCTGCTATGCTTTAAGACTGGCAACTTAGTTGGGTTTATTAGCAGCACCATAGCAAGCACATGGATTATGCCATGCACTATGTCACTAAGTGGTAGGAATTTTTCAGCTCCATTATAATCTTGTGAACTACTATTGTGTATGTGGCAGGTTGTTGAGCAAAATGCTATCTTATGGTGCCTACCTTTGTCACATCTGCAGAAGCAGTCTGTAAATGAGACAGACAAGAGCAAAAAAAGTCTAAAGGTGAGTATCCCTGCAGTTCCACTCTGTTGTCTGAGGAGAGAACCACAATCCTGTCATAAGGAGCTTCACTGTAACCCAGGGAGCCCCACCACATGAATTCATATCAAACAGTAATAAATAAGAACGAAAATGCTGCAGTGTTCATACAAAAACACTCCAGGAAAAGAAAGGAAAGGAAGAAATGAGAGCAGATAAAAACCACTCACCAAATATACCGTCATATGCCAAAAAATGTAGGAAATTAAGAGTTCGTACAGATATTGGTAATCAGAAACAGCAGGCATTACACAAAGGAATCCATCATAAGCTAACAAAGTTCAGAAAAGAAATGGAAAGGAAAAAACTAAAGCCATTCCAGAAATAAGGCCATATTATAAGAAATACAGAGTAGGCAAACTAACAAAAGGCAAAGTGGAATGATTTCATCATCTTGATTAACTAGGGACTCAAAATACAGCATTTTAAATTATCAGCATGTAATAAAAGTATAAAAATATTTGTAGACACAAAAGTAAACACAAGAAGCAAGCAAATAACATAATAAACCAAAACTGTGCAGTAGTATACCAATTAGACATCGCTTATAGCAGGGAGTCAACAGATAGCATCTAAATTAAATATTTAATTCAAAATTAGAGTTAAGAAGAAAGCCACTAGTGGAACAAGCAAACTTATAGCAAAGATAAGATATGTAAGTGTGATTACTGTACACATTGGTGGTTACATGTCTATCTCCTCTTCTTTGCATTACTGATTTTGGTTACATATCCCTTTCTTCTCTATATAACCACGTGCTTTAGGGCAATGGTTCTTAACTAGAGAAAATTCTACCCTCAAGGAGACATTTGGTAATATCTGGAGACATTTTTTGACTGATACACAATTTGGGGGATGCAGCTAGCATTTATGGTGAAGGTTAGCGTGAGGAGACAACTCCAGCCCCAAAACCTATGTTTGGTCTTTTAGGCCCAACTACAGGCTTTGCCTTGATAAACTTCAAGGGCAAAGATGACATTTAAAGCATCACCAGTGCACAATAATCTGTGGAGAGACTGTAGACAAGGACTCAGGATCTTCTGAGGTGGTCGCGTGTCTTGCTGGATCCCTACCTCAGGTACCTCCACTCTGAGGTCTCCTTATGAGGAGGCCTTGACTCAGGTTTCTTTTCCACTTGAACATAAATTCTTTTGTATTCGCCTTCTTCCCAGGACACAAACTGGTAGGGACTTTTGTTCACTGCTCCTCAGCAATGGATTAATTTCCTGAGCCTGCACTGTATATGATGTGCTTGACCTGTGCCAATGTCTGTCCAGAGGGGTAAAAAAATGGGATGGAGGAACCTACACTACTTTCCTTTATGGTCTTTTGCTTATAATACAATCACAGTAAGTGAATGAAAACTTGACTGTTACTTTAATTTTGGCTCACTGTCCTAAGTTACCTCAGAGACAGATGGTGTTAAATATTTTGCAGTGCACAAGCCTCGCATGATGAAGAATTATCATCAGAACGAAGCCCATAATGTAAATATTGCTGAGGATTTTGGATAAACTGACCTGATCACCAGCTCCAGGGTCAGTAAGTTCATGGAATTCTCCTTGAATATTTTTTATGTAGATGGACAGATGACCAACTAAGTGGATGGAGCAAATCCCACCTTTTAGACCTTTAGAAATGGGTAATAAAAGTTTATGGTGTAAGCCAGTATTAATTGGTGTTTTCTTACTTGTAATAAAAAATACAGATGCAGAAAGATAAAAAAACTTAAAGGCAATAAAATACCCCAAGGCAATATACTAAATATTATACATAAATGTATATGAGTAGACTACACTATGAGTAGACTATAATTTAGTATTTAAATATTATTTAATACTAGAAGATTCATCATCGTATTTTAAAAGCTAAAACAGATAAGGAACAGAAATAAAAAATAATTTTAAGCCATTTAAGCCATTGATTCTAGAAAGAAAATACTTTAATTCAGTTCAACTTAAAAAATAAGTTTTCTTATCCCCATAATGAGCACATTAGCCACATTTTCACATATAGAAAACTTACATACATTCAACTGTTTACAAGACATATCACCATATAATACATTCATGAAGTATATGAACTTCCTTAATTGTATACATTTGTGAGTTCTGCATCTGATACCTTTTAAACTAACTTGTAATATAATTCCTAAAAGTCGTTCACATAAGATGATTTAAGATCAGAAGAGTCTCTTTTGAAGAATTATAGTAATTACATTCATACAGTGAAGCGCCAGTAAGTCTTCTAAACATAAGCTCCAAGACAAAGATTTACCAATTTCAGTTATGTAACTTATAATGCAGGAAAGTTTTAGCAGGTTACACTGTTTGGATTATTATTTAAGTCATTTCAAGTGGCTCACAATTATTTGTCCACTGGAGGCAAAAGCACCAAGGGATAATACATTTTTTTCACATCATAGATAAAGTCACAACACAATGACTTCACTTTCCCTTCAAAATCTAATCACTTGTAAAGAGCATATATTTCAAATACTCAATCTTTAAGTTTTCTCAATGAGGTCAATTGATACATCAACTGACATTAAGAATGGAAATGGTAAAAACAGATGCTACACAAACTACCTACTAGCTTAACGGAACTCAGTTTAACTGACAATTTCCATTTTTAAATTGAGTCTTTTAGATTTTAAAAAACTCTGAAAATAAGTATAACATTTACACACTTATTGGTTATATTTCTTAAAAAGAAACTCTAAAGCAATATGTAAAGCAAAAATTTTCTTGATGAACAAAGCACCTCTTCCAGGAAGGAAATATATAAAGAAAATATTTTATACAAATTAATATATAAGTTTATGTGAATAAAGGTATACTTCTCCCAACTGTATATGCTCTATTTTAAATAACTCATAATAAAAAATTTCAAAGCACTGATTGAAAAAATAACACATGTGCTTTACTCCAGTTTTTACATATTGCAGCATATATGTAACTGCAACAATTAAAAAAAATTTCTAATGTAAATGTTCAAGGAGATCCCTTTGGAAATACACATCTCAAAAAGTCCCCAATGTGTAATCTTTCCATCAAATATCACTATGCTAAAGGTTTTTATCACTAAGATACAATCTCATGAGAATACATATATGTACAGAGGTCACCCCATCAGACAGTACTTTGGTACACGCCAGCTGGGCTTTTATGCTCTTTTTCTTTACCAGAGGCACATAGAAGCATTACATGAACAATGACAGACCCTTATCACAAATTCTTCTACTCACAGAATGCTAATAAACATCATTTTAAACATTTCCGATCATGACAAAAGATCCTTACCTAAATAAAAAAAAATCCTTTAGATTTGAAAAATGTTTTTAAATGAATACAGAGAGGTATAAGAAACATAAATTACCTGCTTTGACAATTTTCAGCCTGTTTATTACATATCTGTTTCTACTGAACAAGTTTTTCTAAGTATCAGAAGTTCCAATTTCTGCTAAGCAGACTTCATTTTTTTTTCCCCGTGCTTTTCTTGTGTTCATCCACTTCTGTTTTGATAGTTATACTCTTTTTGCGAGATGAAGTATTAGTGACAACTGCACTAGAAAGTCCACTGGTAGCTATACAAATGAAAAATAGAAAAAACTTTTGCTTAGATTTACATAGCAATTAAAGTTCAAATACTGCTAGGTGACAGAATAATTCTTACAATAATAACAATAGGCTGTGTTCACAAAATAAATTTCTTACTCTGCTCTACATTCTTTCTGAGAAACTAAATTATATTTCATTTTTAAGTATTAGCATCATTATGCTAATTTCAAATTTATACTTGTGGTCCAGGGTTTTTCCCTTAACTCAAGATATGTATATACAGATGCCTACTTGTATTCTCTTTATAGATATCAGATATGAAATACAAATAACATGCTTAAAACTGAATTTGTCACTTTCCCTACCAACATCAATTTCCTCCTATGTCTTCCATCTCATTACTATCTAAAAAGCTAGGTTAGAAAGTTAAAAAGACTAAAAGCATTCTTGCCTTCTACACCCTCACCAACACCAAGATAAAATGGGTTATCAAGAAGCTATTCTAAGTGGAGTTGCATGTCTACTATGGGTAGGTATGTTCCTGTCAGATTAAGAGTTCAGCAGAAAACAAGTATACACTCTGCACAAACTACAAACAACTAACTAAAAACCCTAAAGAGTGACAAAATTAGGCAGTTTACTAGTTGTAAGAATAGAACAAGATGAAATATGAGTCTTCCCCTCTGTTTTTAAAGAGCTTTTAGCTTGAGAACAAGCCCTGATGTATACTATGTAGAATGACTAAAACTCTAACATAAAACCTAGTGTTACTAGCATGAGGAAGTAGATGACAAATACTGGGGAAAATACAGCTCACAGAAAGTAGGGTGAGAAATTCTAGAAAGGAAGAGACTATAATTCTACATATGAATCCTGATATATAAGGCATTAGTAGAGTAAGCTCAAAGCTGCCTCGCTAAGTCTACAATAAATAAACTGAAATTTGAGCTGTCAAGCCCTTTGAGGAACACAGGTTTGCAACTGCATTCAAGCAACATTAACTCTGCTTTAAAAATAAGCAAAACAATATTCTGTGGAGGAATATAATGGAAATAACAGAAGTCCAAGTTTCTACTACACATTATTCATAATGTCCCAAATTTACTCAATATATTAAGAAACAGGAAAATATCTTTCCTGTTAATAATGAGCAAACTGACAGAGACCAATCATTGGATAAGTCATTGACAGGCAAGATTTATTTATTTATTTTTGGCAATACTGGAGTTTGAACTCAGAGCCCTGTGCTTGTGAGGCAGGTTCTCTACCAGTTGAGCCATGGTCCCAGACAGGCAAGATTTTTAAAGCAGCAACTATTTGCTGCAGAAGGAAGGAAAATATGCATATAATGAGTAAAAAGTATAAGTTTCAACAAACTAAAGAATGGAATAAAATATTCGAAATAAAAACGGCTTAGCCTTAAAAGCTAAAGGAAGGGGGCAGGGAAAAGTGACCATTCAATAAGAATTATTACAAGAAAGAGAAAGAAAGATTTAGGCATACCATAATTGAACTGCTAAAAATGAAACATAAAAAGAAAATACTGAAATCAGGCAGTGAAAAATAAAGCATTGCACATATGGGAATGATTCAAATTAATTAAAACTTCTCATCAGAGACCTTGGGAACCAGAAGGCAATAGTGCATCTTTAAAACATGTGAAAGAAAAACAAAACAAACAAACAAAACAAAACAACCCCCAACTTTCTATCCAGAATTCTCTATCCAGCAAAGTTATCTTGCAAGAATGCAGAATAAAGACTTTTTCCATCACAACAAAATGAACAGAATGTGTTGCCAACAGCCCGGTAGTATAAGAAATCCTAAAGAACTTTTTGAAGGCAAATGAAATTAGATAGAAACATAAACTTTAAGAAAGGAATGAAGAACATCAAAAATGGCAAATGTGCAGATAAACACAGGACTTTTTTTCTCCTTTTCATTTCTTTAAAAGAGCTATGACTATTTAAAGCAAATATAACATTGTGTTTATAGTGTTTGTATGTAGAAGTAATACATACACATATGGACAACTATGTATAAAGGATAAAAAGGAAGACAGATGAACCTATAACTTCAAGCTTTTATTCCTTTAGGTGATACAAAATTAACTTTAAGTAGACCATGAAATGTTAAGAATATATATTTAAAGCAATCAATAAAATAATAAAAAAAAATTCATAGCAAAAAGCCAATGGACAAATTAAAATGGAATTCTAAAAAATGTAGAATACAAAATAAATCAGGAATGAATAAAGGAATAATAATTACAAGGAATAAACAAAGGATATAATAAAGTGACCTAATTCAAATATATCAATAATTACACTCATTGTTAATGGGCAATTATAAGCACTGCAATTATAAGGCAGATACTGTTAGAATAACTTTTTTAAATGCCAAATAAATGCTGTCTACAAAAATACACTTTAAATAAAAAGACACATTAATTACATACATTGAGCCTAAGAAAGTGAAACAGCTATACTCACATCAGCTAAAATAAACTTTAAGACAAAGCATTACGAGAAATCAAAGAGATAAATTTCAAGATGATAAATGAGTCAATACATCAGGAAGACCTAATAAATATGTATGAACTTAATAACACAGCTCCAACACACACAAAGCAAATTAAAAGAAAACTAAACAATTCCACAATTAAGATCATTCTTTATACAACTGAAAGAACAATTAGATCTTCTCCCTGTGCACAGTCCTACCAAGACATAGAGGATCTGAACGTTATCAACACTTTGAACTAATGAGTGATAAAATTATATCTATTTGGGTCAATGAACTATAGAGTAACTTTTTTTTTTTGGTGAGGCTGGGGATTGAACCTAGGATCCTGCACATGCTAGGTAAGTATTCTACCAGTGAGCTATATCCCCAGTCTCTAGAATATCTATTTTTTAAGTGTATGTGGAACAGTCAAGATATGCTTACTATAAAACAAGTTTCACATTTAAAAGAACCGAAAGCATAGAGTATATTTTATAATTATAATGAAATTAATGAGAAAAGGTAAAAATGATATCTACCCCCTAAGAAATTAGAAATAAAGGATAAAAATAAAAACCAAAGTAAGTAGAAGAGCAGAAATCATCAAAGAATACAACACAGAGAAAAACAATGAGATAAAGTAGGTCCTCTCCAAGGCAATACTGAGCAAAAAGATCAACACTTAGAGGTATCACAATATCTGACTTCAAATTATACTACAGAGCCATAGAGATAAAAACAGCATGGTACTGCCACAAAAACAGATATGAAAACCAGTGGAACAGAATAGAAGACCCAGATGTGACTCCACGCAGCTATGCCCAACGATTTTTGACCAGGGTGCTAAAACCACACGATGAAGACAGCCTCTTCAACAAATGTTGCTGGGAAAACTGGTTAATTTCAGAAAACTGAAATTAAACCTATGTACAAGTATCAACTCAAAGTGAATTAAGAACCTTAATATAAGGCCTGAACCTTTGAACCTAATGCAGGAAACAGCAGGGAATACACTGGAAGCAATAGCCATTGGCAATGACTTCCTCAGTAGAACTCAAATGGCTCAGCAACTAAGACAAAGGACTTAGTTGCTGTGACTAAGTCACAAATGGACTACATGAAATTAAAAAACTTCTGCACAACAAAAGAAATGGTTACTAAATTGAAGAGGCTGCCCACAGAATGGGAGAAAATCTTTGGCAGCTATACATCTGAGAAGGGATTAATATTCAGAATACAAAGGGAGCTCAAAAAATTAAACTCCCCCAAAATCAATGACCCAATGAAGAAAAGGGCAAATGAACCAAACAGAACTTTTCTAAAAGAAGAAGTCCAAATGGCCAAAAACACATGAAGAAATGCTCAACATCCCTAAAGAGAAAATGCAAATCAAAACCATGTTAAGATTCCACTTCACTCCTGTTAGAATATCTACCATCAAGAACACAAACAACAAATGTTGGTAGGGATGTGGGGGAAAAGAGTGAATATAGTGCAAATACTGTGTACACATGAGTATAAATGGAAAAATGAAACTTGTTGAAACTATTCCAGGAATAGAGGAGAGAGATGATAAAGGAGAATGATGGAGGCGGTGAATTCAAGCACTGTATATCTGATATATTGAAAGAACTTTTGTAAATGCCACAATGTACCCTGAGCACAACAATTTAAAAAAAAAAAAAGTAGGTCCTTTGAAAAAAGGCCAACAAAATGAATAAATCTCTAGTAAGAACGATCAAGAAAAAAAATAGAATACAAAATCTAGTATCATGAATGACATGTTATTAACACATTCGTTAAAAGAATTAGAAGTTGTCAACTTAGACAGAATGAGTAAACTCCTTGAAAAATACAAGTGGAGGCGTGGCTCTATCTGGTAAAGCACCGCCTAGCAAGTGAAAGCCCCTAGTTCAAACCCCCAGTACCACCAAAAGAAAAATAATTTTTAAAAAAAGCAAGTTGCCAAGTCTGTTATAAAAATGAAACAGAAAATTAATTATATTAAATATGTAAAGAAGAAATAAAAATCTTATAAGAACACATTTAGAAAACAGAAAGGAGGAAATGCTTCTCAAATCATTTTAGGAAAATAACACTACCCTCATATCAAAACCTAAAAAGGATGTTGCAAAAAAAGAAAACTACAGATTCATACCCTTCACAAAGAGACAAATAATAATTCTCAAAATTGAATCAAGTCCAGTTCATTTTTTTAGCAATTTTGAGGTGTGTCAAAGCACCTCAAGCAGGATAAGGTTCATCTTAGGAATGAATGATTGGCTATTTGAAAAGTCATTTAAAACATATAACATAATTTTAACTTTACTATTTAAAAATGCTCATGAAATAATGGGTTTATTATGTGTTTAAAATGTAAAGAATAACAATGTGCTACGATTCAAAGATACGGCTGGGGACATAGCTCAGTAGCAGAGCACTTGTGTAGCATGTGTAAGACCCTGGGATAAATCCTCAGAACCACAAAACACAAAACAAGAAAACAAACAACAAAACACTTTAGCTCAGACTGGCCTCAAACTCACTACCTAGCCCGGGCTGCCCCACTGTGTCTTGTTAAACTGTAGCTTTATATCCTGATTAGTTAGAATGTATAAGGTTCAAGTTCTTATTTTGATAATCACATAAGTACATCATCGATAGACATGCTGGGTGAGGTGTTTGAAGGATTGAAGAACTTAAGAATTTCAGGAGAAAAAAGAAGCATGAGCGCTAAGCAGATTTATTTGGGCAGAAGTAAGTAGTTTGGTGATAGTAAAACAGTAATATTAGTAGTTACCATTTAGTGAGTGTTTATAATGTGTGTCTAGTACTTTATATATCCTTGCATCCCCAATAACTTTATGAAGGAGGTACTATTAACTCTGATTTTATGAGTATGAGACTAAGGATTAGCGTAGTTAAGTAACTTACCCAAATTCATATTGCTAATAAGTAGCAGAGTTGATATTTTAATGTAGATGCCTGTGGTTCCAAAGTACAAACTCTTTATCAAAAGAACATCTGAATACATTAAAAGTAGGAAAATATGACAGCATCTCCCATGTGGTTACAGTGAAAAACACTGTAGCCATATGGAATTCTCTGAGGAAAAAGGACATAGGGCAAGAATATATGAATAGGGTTATAATATCCCTATCTGGGATAGGAAAGTAGAAAGAAGAAGGATCATCAAATAAAAAAAGAATTAGAGAAAAGTGGAAAGAACATCAAGATAGAGTAATATATTAGAAGTCAGGGTAAGAGAAGGCTCAATAATACAATCAAATGTGCCAAGAGGTTAAGATAAAAAATTCTGGTAAAAGACTGCTGAATTTGGTAGTTTTATCGACAGACTGAGAATGGACAGATTAAAATCTTTGGGAAACAAGAAAAAATGTTTCATATAAAAAGATGCCTTAGATTCAACAGAAAAGTAATTAAAGAAGAGAGTCTACAATCTGGTTTGGGGAAAAGTGTGAGTATGAAATATATTTCATTAACAAATGCAAGGGAGGGGAAATAATAGAGACAAAAATGGGGTGGGAGACAACAGAGACAAAAATATTCACAAATAGGTTATGATAATAGATTTTGAACTAGAAAGCACAAAAATGAACAGATCCTACTTAGAGATTTCACATTCAAAAAGCAAACTATTATCACTCCTGTAATTGCTGTGCAGAATCAGACACATAAATATATCCCTGACCTGGCTTGCTGTTTGCTTTAGTACTCTTTAAGGTAGCTGGTGGTGTTGGGAGGATCTTTGCAGGTGTATAGGTATTTAAAGAAACTTTTCTTCTCATTACTGGACTGGAACGTGAGGTTGTAAAAGCTGCAAAAAAAAAAAAAAAAAGGTAATTTATTAATTTTCTGCCAATTCTCTTATTATAACATAATCTAGTTATTAACATGCATAATACTTAATATAAACAGTAGTAGAAAATAGACATGGCAAGGTTAGAAGAGTAAATTCAGCAAAATTATCATTCTTATAAAAAGGGAGTTCTCTCGTGGTGATATCCAAACACATTCTTTTTATATTGTAAATACAAGCAATTTAACATTTTACACCAAAGGAATGCCAACAAGAATAGAGCAACAGAGTTAATATTATCCTGCCCTGATAGAAACTCAGGCACTTATAGGATGGCAAAGAGCTGATGGCATAGTTTTACTGCCTGTTAACAGTAATTTTTAAAACAAAGAGTCCCAACAACAAATGGAGATTCAAGGAATAATTGTCTACAAACACAATGGTCCACTAAACTATCAATTTAAGAATAAACTAACTAGATTATTAGCAGTTAAACAAATCAGATTGTTTTCCTATATTACCCAGCTGAGATTTATCTTCACAGAAGCAAGGGAATTTTGATGATGTTCCTCTTTCCCCCAGCCCACCTTTGTAATCAAGATGAGAGATTAGGTGGCAAAAAAGAAAATTAGAGAACTTAGTTCTTAAGTATATAGTCCTCTGGGGAAGGACAGGCCAAAGTGAGGGGAAGTACATGAAAGTCCTTGATATGAGCTTCTGAATTCTAAACAAAGGAAGATGGAAAGATTATAAGAGCCAGATTTGCAATTTTACAATTTGTGGAAAGGCTCTGATAGCGTGCTTTTGAAAAACAATGTGTGGACCAATTACAACAAATGTGCCAAGCAAATGAATGTAAAATGTCAATGGCAGAGCTCAAGGTAGTCACCAATGAAATTAATATAAGTAACAAATAAAGATGTCTGTAAAGCATCATGTAAAGCACTACATCCTTACTTAGCTCTTTCCTGTTTGCACACTTTTACCCTTTTGTAGTGTTAACCTCCATCACTAATAGTAAACTTCCCTGAAATAAAATCTTACATAAAAATGAATCAAAATAGATACTCTGGATGAAGCAGCTATAGAAGACAGCTCTTCATTCTAAGCAAGGTTAGCCAGGCTCAGAAGTCCAAAAATCGTATGTTCTCCCTCATATGTGGACATTAGATCTAGGGCAAAAGCAGCAATGTGGTTGGACTTGGATCACATGACAAGGAGAGAGCACACACAGGAAATATAGGAATAGGTAGAAAACCCAAAACATGAAAGCCTTGATGTCCCCACTCCAGAGGAACTAATACAGAAACCTTAAGATGACAGAGGTTATCATGAGCAGCGGATCAGGAACCAATGTAAAGATCACTGAGTTAGAGTTGAATCAACATGGGTCGTAACACATGGGTACATGACAGCAATAGTAGGAATCTCCCTGTATAGCTATCCCTAACTGAACTAGCAAAAAACGCATTGTCTTCCTTATTATGCTTATGTCATTTCTTCAACAAAATTAGTGATAAGGGGAGGTCAGGACCTGCCTGGAACTGAGGCGGGGAAGGGGGTAAGGGTGGGGAAGGGGGGCAGGATGGAGAAATGACCTAAACAATGTATGCACATGTGAATAAATGGGAAAAAAAAATAAATCAAACCGCTTTTGAAAAAAAAAAAAAAGAAGGAAACTAATATCCATTGCCTCAATATACCTCAATAATACACTCTGATGAATGAATTCACTAACCACAAAAATGTAGCTACCATAAAATAACTTTAAAAGATTACCCTTTTATAAATATCCCACTAAAATTCTTTTCAAAACAAACAGATGTCATTATTCTATTACTTTCAAGACATTCACTGCAAATCTTCTAAAATTAAATAGCACTGATATCTACTCTAAGTCCTTATTTACTTATTGGAATCTTTCTTTAATTTCTATTTCAAGATATTAAAGCCCCATCTCAGGGAAGCAATGAAACATCAAGAATAAGGTAAAGGTGCAAACTAGCACTGTCTATTCTGTTAAGTTAAAGACAACATAAAAGTAGATGAATTCCCTTTGTTTTCCTGACTGTCTTTATAGCTGCTATTTCATTTGGAGTATCATCAATGCTTGGAATCAAACACATTCATATACAAAATTTGAAATTAAAATCTACTTTCCAAAGCCATACCTAAAATGAAATATTTTAATCTCTTTTTTCTATTACTGACCTCTACTACCAGAAGTGGAAGAAAAGGGAAAAGCCACTCATTGCCTAATAGAAATGAAGGGGTACCAGTTAGAATAACACGTGAATTATGCTGTTGAATTATACAATGTGATAGCCCAGGAATAACAGCAACACATGAAAATGTCACTTATTCCAAGAACTATCATACTGCTTGGGCAAAATAAATATATTTTATAAAATGTATACAGCACCCCAGAAAAGAGAAAGCTATGTAAATAAAGTTTGTGGTTTCCTGAGGTATGGGTAGAAGAACAAGATTCTTATCTCTAAGAAGAATACTCTCTCCTAAGACTAATGTCTCCCACACTGCAAATTCCAACATACTTCTATTGCTGGGTCTTAGACATTTTTTTTCCTTTATGCAAGAAAAAGATTTTGGGGAGGAATCAAGAAAAGTTGTACATTACCCATTACACTAAAGAATTACTAATAATGTCACTTTATACATCTTTAGGTCCTAAAGTTCTATTCACTATTACTGCTACTTGAGTTTACATTTTTTATAATGTTTCTACTGCCCAAGAATTAAATATGAAGGTAAATTTTCCTACACATTTCAGGAATCTTGTCTAGAAGTTCACTGGATGGAGAAGCAATGGAAGCAAGAAAGTCATCCACTTGTTTTAAGGATAGGGCATTGTGAAGCGTTTCTAGAGGACAAATAGATGGTACCATGGAATACAGTTCAAAGCCTGCAAGAGAAAAAACAAAGACAAAGAAGTAAAGTTGGGTATTTTAAAAATTGATTATTAAAAAGGAAGACAATTGTTGTTTAGAACTGGAAAGTTTAAGTCTTTTCAATGTAACACATGCAAACACACACGATTTCTCAAGTCATGACACCAGATGCTATGCAATATGGAGTTGAAACAAGATGTGACAAAGATTTCATTTTAGATGTAATCACATAGCAGAGCATGCACATAATTTCCTTCTTTATTAGTAAAATGTAAGGATAAGACTTAAGAAAATCTGGGAGGGGAGGAAAAATACAATTTTTCTGTTTTCATTTTATTTATTTATTTATTTATTGGGACTGGGATTGAATCCAGCGGCCTTGCAAATACAGGCAAGCACTTCACCAATGAACCACATTCCCAGCCCTTTTGGTTTTATTTTATTTTTTATTATTGTTGTACTGGGGGTACATTGTGACATTTGCAAAAGTTCTAACAACATATCATAATTGAATTCACCCCCTCCATCATTTGCCTTTATCTCCCCTCCCCCCATTCCTGGAATAGTTTCAACAGATCTCATTTCCCAGCTGATTTTGAAAGATTTTTTTATTTTGAGACAGGTTCTTGCTAAATTGCTCAAGTGGGTCCTGAACTCAATATGTAGCCAAAACAGATCTCAAGCTTGTGATCTTCCTGCCTCAGCCTCCTGAGTAGCTGGGATTACAGGCATTTACTATAATGCCTGGTTCAGTTTTATCATTTCAAGTCAGGTCTACTCAATAGATGAGTAACCTGAAGCCCTATGTATCCCTCATGCCAGGATGCTAAAGGTAATTTCTTATCAAAAAAAAAAAAAAACCAACAAAAAACCAGTCATATAATTAATTACATGTGAAGAATGAATTTAAAGAATTTTCTAGACATGCCAAGACAAAAACAATACTATCCTATGTGATCCTAAAACAACATTCATCCATAATGGACTTAAAATTCCAAAACATATTTAACCTACCTTTACTGAATTAACACCAATAATCTATTATTAGAAATCACTTGCTGATTGATTAGGACAATAAAAAGCAATACGAAATACAAATACATTTATGTTTAACAATGGCACAGAAATATAAAACTTTCAATGAAATAATCATGCAGCTATGTATTAATACTATCAATGAAACAAAAGCACTTAAACAGTTTTTTTATATAAATAAGAGACTTATTCACTATTAAGAAGAAATTCATTTAAACCTTATTCGACTGAATGGCTTTAAAAATTGCTTTCATATACTATTAAAAATATCAAGTCTTTCTGCATCCACTCTTCTAAAAACTCAGACTAATTCTCTTCCAAAAAATACTTTCAATACTTAATTAAGCTTATATAAAGTCCAATATCATTAGCTAAAAAGTAATTAATTAAACTCAGACTGCAAAATAGACTCTGCTTCAATAGGCATGTGATCACTTTTTAAGAATTCAGTGCTATTTGATTCATTTAAATATTGAGAAGAAATATTGATCCATGAATTGCTGAAATTTTCAGTTGTTATAGGGAAAAATCTGTGGTTAAAAGGGGATCTAATCTTTCTATGAAAATAACCAAAAGATTTAAAACTAGTATGTCTGATTTTTTAGGTACAAACCAAAACAGGATAGAACATTATTCATACTTCAAAACAAAACAAAAACTATAATGTCATAGTAGCAGTTAAAATACCTCAGTTAAGTACTAAAGGAATTAGACTTGTATAATTGTTACACTTTTTTTAAAGCACAAGATTCATGCAAATAAGCGCAAATCCTTTCTTTGCATTTCATTAATCTCAACAATGTTTTTCTCCTTTCCTCACGATGTTTGTCTTTTGTAAATAATGATTTTCTTTCACTTGCCTGCTAGATTTTATAACAAGCAAATGACAATAGTGAAGTTACTCTGTACTGCATTTTTTCCCCATTTATCTTTAATAAACTTTTAAATGCATAATGAAAGGGTTAGCGCAGCAATTAAAAAAGCCACCCTGCTGACACATTTAGAAGCTATAAAAACATACCACTGGAGCCTAGAAATTTCACAGAGGAAATGGACCAGCACCTATAGAGGTGTGGGTGTTCTGCACAGAGGCCCCAGAAAATAAGGTAAAGCACTGTCAGAAGATACTTGTTTCACCATGTTCCTTGAACTAAAGATGAAGGGAGGGGTAAGTTCATGATATGTGTTAAAGATGGAAATAACATGAAAGTTATAGGAAATAAAAAGTGGAAGAGTTAAGTGACAATTCATAGGACAGATAAAACAACACAGCATTAAAAAAAAAAGAAATCTTGAAAACACAAAGAAATATTTCTAGAATAGAAAGAAATGCATTAAGTTGTATAACATATGGATAAGCCACATTTTTAAAAAGGGCTAAACCAAAGGAATATAAAACTACCCTATTTTCTGTTAAATTTAACATATTTATTATTATTATTTTATCTTCAGTTAAATACAGACTTCTAGATAAAACCTGTAATACTAGCTTTAGACCTATAGTACTTGGTACAAAAACTTGCAATATCTCTTCTTAGAATGATATGACTTCTGTTTTTCTTCTTAGAGGTTCTTATGCATGTGGGATCTTTAGAAGCTGCAGTTGTATCAAGCAAGATCATTTTCTTCAAAAAGTAGCATTTAAATAGCCACAACTGAGGGAAAGCGTGCTATATTTTAAGGCTAAATTTCCACTTGAGGATGAGATCTTATTTCACCTTCAACAAGTATTAGTGCACTGTTATGGAGACATGTTGTTAAAGGCTCTAAAAAGAGGAAAATGACCACAAACCTGTACTGAATCCTTAGGTTTCATAAAAGTTTGAGTTTTTGAAAGACTTATTCACAGTTAAAAATAAAAAAGTTCCAGGGATAAAAGTACTTTTATTCAAAATAAGAGCAAAAGTCTGTGAAAATTCTTGGTCCTGAAGTATTTGAGAATGATCAGTAAATATTCAGCAGGAAGCTGTAATACTGCAGCAATTCAGCTTATAAATAATCGTTAAGAAACACTTTCTATTCAACCTTAAAGACTGAACACAACTGAATTGGGTATTCAGAGTTTAACTTGAGTCTTCTTCCTACCAGGAATCCTTCATAGTTTAAGAAAAAGCAGCGGTACCAGAAGGAATTGGTTGATAACAGCAAACCATATTGCCACTTGAGGACAAAGTAAATGCTGGACAGTTTCTGACCAAGTCCAGCACTGCTTTAGACAAACAGCAGGGATAAATGACATTACACAGAGGCCTATGTATCAGCAGGTTCCCTGGAACTTTTCAGACAGTTCTCATTTGGCTCTTTTACATGGGTCGCTCTGTATTTTGGTTAAATATCTCAGTAAAACAAACGTGATCAGGAAAGGAATTTGAAAGAAAAAAAACCCATTAAAATTATTAAGAATTAAGAGCAAATTAAAAATACTAAGTGTATTATAAAAAATTTTGCAAACTGATCACTTAAAAAATTAGAAAGGAGTTTTAGGTGTTAATTTGGATTAAAACTCATCATCACTGTAGTCATTTAAAAGTTTGACAAGTAATGTCAAATTATTATGTAAATTACAGCTGAAAAGGGAGCTAGACAGTATCAATAATTTGGTTGAATAATAAATTGGAATTATATGCCAATTAAAATTAAGGATGAAGAAATGAATGATACTGTATACCCCATATCTTGAAATAAAAGAAAAATTAAAAAGGGATGAAGCAGGGGAGTATCTTTTAAAATAAAAGCAAAACGTACCATTGGTTGGGTGTCGAGCAAATGAGATAGAAAACCTTTTAACAGCAGAACCACGTGTGGCGTCTGAGAAAGAGAAAAACAGGTACCTGAAATTTGTAATAGCTGCCAAAAGAAGAATACTTAAAAAAAAAATAAAAAAGAGGGGAAAAACGAATATATGAGGTTAGAATTAGGTGACATGCAGAAGGGATGAGAGAAGTAATACGCCAAATACTGGTTAAAAGCAGTAAACTGGCTCAAGGATAGAGGCAAAATGTTTAATGAAATATACAAAAGAAAGAAAGGCAGAATGAGTTGGCAATTCTGGTAATCCATTTTTACTGACTAAATAAATTTGTGAACATATGAGCCAAAATTTTAAATGAAAATGCTAATTCTAAAAGAGCTAAAAAAAACCTTACTTTTAGGAAAAGGGACCACCTTCCATGAGTCTCAAAGGCATTCTGAGTATCAAAATTCAAAACTGAAGCTACATTAGCAGTAGCTGATTTCCCATCAGCTAGGAGTTCTAACATATCCTGTTCATTTATATTTGTCTATATTAACAAACATCTCATTTACTTTAGTTTGTCATTGTCAATAAATAAAATAAGGGTTAACAATAAACAATAATTTAAAAGATAAAAGAAAATTTATTTCTATAACATGGATTATTAGTTATCTAAAAGAATATGCATGATGCAGCACTAAATTTTCCATTTTAACAAACTATTTACTGCACAAGTACTACAAGTCTAACTATAATGAATTCCTTGATGAAACATGGAGCGAAGCTTTGGATAACAGAGAACACTGATAGTCATTTAGGAAAACTGTACTAAGATTCCACTTATGCCCTTTGGAGAAACATTGCTCATGGGTGTGTGCATGGGTGTAGGTATGAATCTGTGTGTGCAAGTGTGCACATACCATCTATGCAGCCAGAAGAAGTCAGCTTTTTACGATGAGTACGAGCATAATCCTGTAGGTTAGGTGCGCTTGAAGAACCCCCAAGCACTGAGGTGCTAAACAGGCCCGGACAGTGAGACCCTGATGGGAGTTAGAGAAAATATATACAACAACGGGAGTTCTTCCATTCACATTGGGAATTCATGCAGCATGCAATTAACATGGCTCTTACCAACACACAGGCAGCCTTTGGCAGTGCCTTGAACAGGCTTACAATATGCTTGTAAATTCCTAGTGGTACCATTTTTAATACAATGCTTCTAATAAACACCATCATTGATCAGTTGAACAAATGGGATAATTTACACTAAATAAAAATGTTATTACTGAGGAAATAAATATGCTCACATATTAACTAGACATATACATCCTAAAAGTACTAAAACCACCACCCATAAAAACAATTTAGGATGAGAAGGCATTCTGAAAATCAATTTGTTAAGAGCAAAGTTATATATAAAAAAAAAAACCCAAAAACTCCTAGCACAAATTAAGTTATGTTAAATTAATATTTTTAATGTATTCAGGTAAAAAACACTTTTCTGATACCCTGAATTAAGAACTGTCAATCATTCTTATAAAATAAAATATATTAAAGCTTATTTACTTGTGAAAACAGGCAAAATAACTTTTCAGTCACTCAAATTAATTCACTTTAAATTTCTAATACTTAACAAATAACTTAAGATCTTACTCCATAAGGCCGCCAATGAAGCACATTATCAACATGTAAAACAAGCCAGTATAAATTGATGCATAATTTATAGCAAAAGACTTTATATCCAAGCAAGAATTTCACCATCATGGTAAGAGTAAGTGAATTTCTAGCAAATATTCTATGACAATTCAATAAGAAGGGTTAAATATTTAAGTTTCCTTTAAAACGCTGGAGAAATATTAAAAACTATAAAAATATATATATGTAATTAGCTAAAGAAAGATCCTCAAATATGTAGGTATAAACAGTTCAAATACTTAGTATTAGAGACTGCAGTACATATATAATTGAACTTAGTGAAATTTATTTATGCTTTTATTAAACCTATTTTGACAACTATTTACAGAAAATATATGCCATTGCCTCATATATTTCATCAACCAGGAGCTTAAAACCAGTGAGTACGGAAATATGTTTTTCAATGTAACTCTGCTTCATTGAAAGAAGCAATTATGCTTACAGTTCAATAAAGAGTAAGGTTACCATTATACATTAGTTTTCCTAAGAGCTGCTCAAAAGGAAAATTAATAAACCTAGATAGGGTCTAAAACACTCCCTACTTGAAAGTCTTTTCAATCAGGAAAATAGAAGGTACTTTTTTGTATACAATAGCATCTTTCTGTCATGATCAATCAGGGAAATAAAGTTCTTCATAAATTAACTTAAAAGGAATAAGATTAAAACCCTCCATGGGTAAGTGGATTAAGTTATTACCACAGTAGGCATTCAAAGGGATACACAACAGAATTAAATGCTACTTCTTATATGACCAAAATTTTATTCAACATTTCTGAATCAATACACATTAAACGGAAACTGAAGCATAGCATTTGGTCATGCTTTTACCACTAAAGAATTTTACATGTGTGTACAACAGTCAGTTTAAGAAGGGAATATAAATTTCATTTATACCACATACCTACAGTAGGGTTCTGCTTCTGTTCCACAAGAGTTCTTGGTGTTCGAAGGTAATTAGCATTTTCAGATACAACCTGCATAAGGAAAGCAAAATAAGTGAAACAAATAGTAAAATAAACTCAAAAGACCATACTTCATATGCAGCCTGTTCCAGACAGACAAAGGTTAATAAGCTGTATGACAAATATTAGTAGAAATACACAAAACATAAAAGATCATGCAAGATCCCCTTCTGAAGGGAGTCCATTTCATATGAAGTCCTTGCAATGAAGTGGTGCGAAGCAGGCATTCAGAATGAAACATTAAGTGTGAAACAAGACAGATGAAAAGAAATAATTAAGACTGATATACTTTCACTCTCTTTTAAAAGAAGCCAAATGCCCACTCTTAAACAGCTCCTGTATTTGAAGGGGGAAAAAACAACAACAAACAAAAGAAAAGACAGACAGAGACTGTTGAGGTCACCATACAATTACTGATCCATGCATGGGCTTTATCAGAGTAACCTTTAAATATTCACAGCCTTAATGGATACCATAATCCCTTTTCCTATAATCAAATGCATTATATTTCCAAAAGGAAATTGCTGAAATTATCAAATAAGTCACATGTGACAGTAGATCTTCCAGTATAGCAAAAACCAGAGTACATTAAGTTTCCAAATGTCATCACAGAAAGTCCTTCTGAAGTCACTTTATTTTGAACCATATTGTTGATGAGCACATACACACTTGCCCCCGTTTAATATATACCTTGCTAATTAAAACCAGGCCACATAAACTTTGATATTTTTAAAAATGTTTACATTCTCAGAAAATTCCAAATGGAATTAAAGTTTTTCAATTATGAAGGGGGGAGTTAGCAATTTTCTTACCATCAACTTGGGTCATTTTGTTTCTGAAAGTTTTAAAGGACAACTAAAATCAAAGAAAGATTTCTTTCCATTTTAAATAATTTTATTAGTAAGCTAAAGATCCAGGAGCATAAAATTTATTGGCAATTTTTTAAATCCTGGATATTTAAAACTTTCCCAGTAAAAATGCTACACATGCAATGTAAGTGGTTTCTTTCCCTCAAATATTTTCAGCTATCATTAGTATTTTTAAATGAACTCAAAATTTAAAAACAGAAGGATTTACTCTGATGTAAATAAACTACAAGGGATTAGATGTCCTCAAAGACAGTTGTTTGTTGCTCTGAATGCGGGGAAGAAAAATGTTTAATGAAGTAAAGTTTAAAAACCTGTTGCCATGAGCCAAAAATACTGGATGTGAAAGCCAATGATTTGGGGGAGACAGGGGAAGAAGTGATTTGTTCCCCTGATCTGCGTCTTCGACGCCCAGTACCCACACCACTGGTATAATGCAGCCAGGTACCAGTACCCTCTGGGCTAGACACACTCAGGGGGCTCTCTTCCTGGAAGTGAGAAAGGGGGCAAAAACAAAACAAAATAAAACAAAAAAAAAAAAAGCAGAGCATGCAAAGTTAGATACAACAGAGCCAAATGATCAGAAAGAAAAAAAAATACAGTTTATTTGCATATGCTTATCAATTTCTTAAAAAAACTATTAAACAGTAATTTGGGAGCCAAATATTTTAATACGTGAGAATTTGATATGAATGACATATACATTTAATTTTATGTAATAACAATTCCAGAAATCTCTTATTGCCTTAAAATACACAAAATACTTATACTGCTTAATAGTTGAAACTTCTCTGTTAAAACTGGAAAGCTTATGTTTCTTTTTTATCAACTATTTAAATATAAGAGTTATGCTTAATTTTAGATATTCACGAGATTTTGTGCTATTTAGGGTGAATTTTTTAACTGAAAGCACAAATGATAGTGCAAGGGGTTAAAGAGGTTTCAATGTATATAATTTGAAAAAAAATCTGTCTACTAAACAGTAAAAAAAATTCAGAGTTAAGATGGACACAAATTGTACTTTTTTATACTTTCAATATATCTATTTATTTACCCCTCCCAAAGATTAGTTATAAAGTTTGGTAGGCAAAACATGCAGCAAACATTCTAAATTTTACATGTTTGCATGTTGAGGTTTCAGACAGTGAGGACAGAGTAAAATCTACTTGCACAAAATGAAGAGAATAGTCTTTTTCTCTGTGTGTCTTTTGGAAGTACAAACTTCTGATATCCATGGAGATGGCTGATGCTGGAAAAAGTCTTCAAGGTTTTACTGAATAATTTACCTTATGGAAGTAAAAGTTTAGCATGGCATAGAAATAATCTCTTGAAAGCAACTAGTTAAGTATTCATGACAAAAAGGTTTATAAATGTGTTCTGTGCTTTAAGAGTTAACAAGGGCAGTGATTTTGTTGAAGATTTTACAAATATAGATGAGTTGAAAAATGAAGACTCGATATATTTTGCAGTATTAGTATTACAAAGGCCTTTTGGAAGAAAGAGGAGAGGGTTTAATTGTGAAATTCTAAACAATCTGATTAACTATACATTGCCTGTTCAACAACACATCAAAACCACTGCCCTCATTGAAATGTTGGTTCACTTTATATCAATATATGTTTCTGGATTTTCTAAAATTAAGGAAATCTGGTAATAGCCCCAGATTTCTCACCTAAGCTATAATAGAGCAACTAATCTTAAGTAATTGTTAACCATCCTCTTTTTTAAAACACCAATCTCTATTATAACTAACTTCAAATACCTTCTTTAAGATAATCCTAATTAGTGTTTGAGTTATAATTTATCTAGCTTAAAAATTGATGATTCTTTGTAAATTCACTTTAACTTCCAGCTTTATATTTTTATTAGAACATTTAGAAAAGATTTACAAGTACTGACCTCAAACAGTGCTAGAAAAATCATCCTACAGAGAATACATAACTCAAAATAAAGGTTAGAGTATAAACTATATACAGATGTTAAAATTTTACTTAAGCTTCATTGACTGCAAAAATTAAGTTAATCTATTTATAGTTATAGATCTTAAAGGCAAATTTTTCAGTCATATCATCAAATTTTCAAATTCTTATACAGGTTTTAATAATCAAACTAACAATTTGGAATTTCATAGCTTAACCTAGATTGTCAGTCATAGGTATTAGTTACTGTTGAAGCACCTCTGGCAATTCCTTACTACTTTAAACAAAAAATACTCCTGATATATTAAATCAGACTTTTAAAAAGTTCTTTATGGAATAATCTAACACAACAAGATTATGGATCAGTCTATCAAGATCTTAGAAAGGTCTTATTTTCACATTCATATTCAATTTTGTATTGAAAACTACACATAAAGCTCCAATTTTAAAAGTTCATATGTATGTTTTCTTATTGCCTGTTTTTTTTTAATTTGTTTGAAAAATAGACAAAAATGACCATTAAAAATTTGATAGGTTCCTATGTTCTATAATTAAAGCTGTATTTTCTTTTCAGTTTTATCAATAGTTAGTTTACTTATGAAAAGCAAGTACTGACAGATGTACTTACTTCACTTGCAGCCACCTTCCTAGATCTTGGAAGTGGGGACTTCCTGTGTATATGAATTGGGTCTGATACCATTGGTTTAAACATTATCACAGCTCGATCAGGCTCATCTCTTTTAGAAGTATGAGGTTCATCATCATTATCAATTTTAAAAGATCTCCGGCCTTCATTCTGTGAGGAAAGAATACAAAACACTTACAATTAGATTTTTTTAAAAAAAATCTCTCTGAATTGGATGCAGTGGTACATGGCTACAACCCTTGCACTCTAGAGACTGAGGTGGGAACAGTGTGATTTTGAGGTCAGCCTGGGGTCACATGGTGAGACCATGTCTCAAAAAACAAAACTAACAAAAAAACAACCAAACAAGCAAACCCCAACAGCTCTTCTGAAAAAGAAATTCAACAATTGATAAAATCACCATATGAAATTTGTCTTATCAAATGAATTAATATTAATGAACTCTTATAATAGCCAGGTATTATCCTGGGTATTGTGGGAGAAATGACTCTCCATTTCAGGAAACACAAGCATTCTATGGAGAAGCTAAACAACAACAAAAAAGACAATTAAAATCTATATATTGCTAGGCATGGTGGCAACCACAGGGATCATGTTTGAGACCAGCCTGGACAAATAGTTAACAAGACACTATCACAATCAATAAGCCAGGCCTGGCAGTTGGCACCTATGATTTCAGCTAGGCAAGACAGAGTAGGTAGGAGGATCACAGCCTGAGGCCAGCTCATGAATATTTTGCCTGGGTTGGCCTCAAAACATGGTCCTCTCCATCACAACCTTTCAAGTAGACTGGGTTATAGATGTGACCCGCAGAACCTGGCTTTCCCTACTTCTTTAGTGCACTGAACTTTCCTTGCTTTTTGGGTGTGTTTTGTATAATGTAGTCCAGATTTTTTTTCCCCTCCTGTATGGATAACTAGTTCAAGCATCATCATGTATTGAAGAGTTCATTTTATCCCTACTGCCTGCATTACTATCTGTGAAATTCCAAACATATGTTGTGTTCATATATTGTTAAGTTGGTTTCTGAACTCTTACATAGTATTATTCCACTGGTATATTTTGTCTTATATTGTTCTTCAAGATTTGCTAGGATATTTCAAGTTTCCTACATTTTCACATAAATTTTATAATCATCTTATAAATGTTCCAAAAAGAACTCTTTAGGGTTTTGATTAGAATTATAATAACTCTGCTGAATAATTTTTAGGAAAAAAAATCTTTTGCTATACTTCATCTTCTAGTATAAGGACTTGATGTATTTCTGAATTTATTTAGCTATATTTTGTATGTTTTGACAAAATTATGATATTTTATGAATATATTATACAAATTAATTCATAGGTTCTTTATGTTTTTGATGTCATAAGTGGTTTATTAAATTTCATTTTATGTTTGCAAGTGTCATATTGAATTTTAACTCGACATTTTATATAGATTTTATAACTAGCAAACTTGCTATGTGCTATTATTCATTCTAATAATTTGCCAAGAGTCATTTGGATTTTCTATGCCTCTGATCACATCATCAATGAATGGTGATGAATGTCTAGTAAAATTAATCGATTTAGTGATAGCGGGCATTCCCACCTTGATATTTTATTATTGACTGTGATGACTGCCTCAAGTTTTATACATTCCTGATATGGTTAAAAGAGTTCCATAATATTCTGTACAGCCCTTAGTTTGATGAGCTTGGCTTTGGGGGGCCAACATTATGAGATTCACTAATGCAACTGCATTTAATTATAGTTTGTCCATTCTTATTACTTTAAAACATGTGTTTTACTATATGACTGTTAGACAAGTTATCCATTCTATTATAGATACTTGGTATAAGAATTTTTAACTTTTCTTTATCTCTTACACTGTGATATTCTTGCAATCTGGAAGTGTATCTTATTTATCTATGTCCTAGGTAACCTATTGGAGGGTAGCAATTGGTGAACAGGAAAAGGAAATAAAGAACTACAGAAAATACATTCTTTTCATATACATGATACATATCAAGAATTAATTGTATGCAGGCCAATAAGGCAATTCTAAATACATTTAAGAGAAAAATCACACCTCACATATTATCAAACAAAGTTGAATGAAGCTAGACATCACTAATAAAAGCTCATATATATGTTCCACGTATTTGGAAATTAGGCCCTAAATCTCAAACCTACGAATCAAAGAAGAAAAATCACATAGAAATCATGAAGTATTTTGAGCTGAATGATAAAACATACCTAAAAATGACACAGCTAAAATGATAGTTAAAGGGAAACTTATGGCTCCAAACCAAATGTTAGAAAAATAAAACTGAAAATTACATGGTCTGGGTATCCATCAAAATAACTTAGAGATGCCAGGTGTGCTGGTGTATGCATGCCTATAACCCCAGGTACTTGGGAGGTGTAGAACCAGGAAAATTGTGGTTCGAGGCCAGCCCAGGCAAGAAGTTAGCAAGACTCCATGTCAATAAATAAGCTGGGTGTGGTAAATTATAGCTATAGTCCCAGCTATGCGGAAGGTATAATGAGGAGGATCACAATCCAAGGATGGCCCTGGGCAGAAAGTGAGAGACCCTATCTACAAATAACTAAATATCCAAGGATTGGCATATGGCTCAAGTAGTAGATCATTTGCCTAGCAAGCACAAAGTCCTGAGTTCAAAATCCCAGTACCACCAAAAAAAAAAAATAATGAAAAATAAGTTAGAGGTAGATCAAAAAAATAAATCCAAGGTAAGTAGGACTAAGCACACAGAAACTAACATCAGAGGTTAATGAAATAAAAGACAAATGTACAATAGAGAACAGGTAAGGGAATTTGTTGGTTCTTTGAAAAAAATTAAGAAATCATATATTCTTGCTAAGACTTGCTAAATGAATAAACACAAATAAAAAAATTACCATTATGAAGAAAGGGACAGCATTATAAGCCTTAGTGACATTAAAAGATAATATAGGATATTATGAACAACTATGCACCCTAAATTCGAAAATTTAGGAAAAATCTAAAAGTACATTGATTAAAGAAATTGAAGATATAACTTAAAATATTTCCAAATAATTTAAAATATTCCATATCTAGATAACTTCCAAACATCAAATTTTGACATATATTTAAGGGAAAAAAAATAACACCAAACTTCATACAATAAAGACAAAAATAGACTAACTCATGTCAGGTGCTTACTCCAGTGTTCAGCAGTAGTCCTCAAATAAAACAACAATAGAAAACAAAAATTACACTTGCCCATTCTAAACACTGCACTTAAAATCCAGTCTAAATAAAAGATAAAAATTCTGAGGTATTCTAATATGCATAAAAATGCTATTTACCCAAATCATATTTTTAAAAGTTTCATTTTTCTACTACTCAGTAGTAGATACTAATTTAAGGTAAGAATTATTTATAGTACATAATAGAAAACTGTTGCAGAATCCTCATGAAAATCTAGAACTATCTAGCACCAGTAGTTTCATCTTCATTACCTCTCTGGAAGCTGGTCTATACCCATAGCCAGATGGTAAATTTTTATCTTCTTCACAGCCTTTGGCTCCTGGACTAAAGTGTAATTCAACATGAAAGCGCTCCTCTGAGGAAAGATCCTAAAACATATGAAAGAATAGTTACAGTAAGGAACTTCAAGTATTCATTTACCTCTGGTAACTCATACAAATCAAGAGCTATTGTACCTTGTTAGGATCCTCATAAAGCATGATAACAATCTGAGTCATGTAGTTGAGTTCATTGACAACATTTAAATAATCCATAGCTCGTTTCCACTGTTCGTCCTTTGATTCCTGACCAAAAGGTATATGGTAAGTATTTTCTCGTACTGTATTACTTGAAAGTCACTTTATTGTCATTATGATAGCTTGTTTAATCCTGAGTGGTACCACAAATATAAGGGTGAAGAGTTACGTGCACCATCTTTCAAAAATAACTTCACTAAGTTTAAAAGTCATAGTAAGTTTCTTAAGGTTGTTTAAATAAATTATTTTAAAAGTCTCTCACTAGTAACATTACAGTTTAATGATGACTCTTATCAAAACAGTTTATACAAAGTTAAAAAAAAAAAATCTTTTAAAATATGACACCCAGTACTGAATTCTGAGGGTAAAGTGCAGTATATAAACTTCTAAGTCTGAAAGTACCTAGTAAATTATCATACTTCATAACACCAAATATTATCCTGGAAAAGCATTTTCTCCCCAATATAATAAAGTCCATGTTTGTGGCACATAGCCCACGAGAAATGTTCCTGTGTACAATACATTGATTCTAAAACCTCAACAGGAGGAGGCATATGTAAGTTCTACTGATCTTACTTTTCTTCCCTCTTCATTGAGAGACTCATTGGTCTCTTAATTGTAATCAGAGAGCATTAGATCTGAAGGGACCTTAGAGAAATGTACTACAAACATTTAGTATAGAAAATTCTATTTGAAAAGGTAAACTACTCAAAGTACAAAGTTTACAGTTAATTGTCAGCAAGGTCTATGTAAACATTATATATATTCTGGATAATTTTCCTGCATTGTTTGTATGTCATGGATATTACAAATACATAAAAGTACTCAGTAATTTTTTGTTGTAAAGTATGGTTATAATGTGCCATGTTCTATGACATTATTAAGAATACCATCTGATTTCAGTGTGGCAGTTACAGATTTTGCTAGGTCTGCTCTAATAATATTCAGCAGTACCTTCTCAAACACAGTATGTAAGAAGCCACGACTATCTGGTTGTGGTGGGGCAAGGTCAAGTGAATTTTGCATGTGGAAGAATATGAATTATCGTGGCCAAGGAGCACATTGTGGCAGATTGTGTTTTCCAAAAATGGGCACCAAATATTTAATCCTATATACTCATCTTACAACGTGACAATGATATTCCATTCATTTCTTTGAATCTGAATAGACCTCTATGATTATCTCAACTAACAGACCTCAGTAGAAGTGACACAACTTAATTTCAGAAAGTAGGTCATGGAAATGCCACACACCTGCACCTTGCTATCCTAGGAAGCTCACTCTTAGAACCCAACTGTGTTTTGAGGAAGCAGGTCATATGAAGGTGCAAGATGATGCTGTTCTGCTCAACAACCCCAGCTGATGTCCTAGTTAATAATCAGCATCAACCACTAGATATGAGAGAAGACCTCTGACATGATTTGAATTCCAGCCACTATCTGGATGTAACCTGATACAACCTTAAGTGAAACTGCCTAACTGAGTTTAGTCAATCACTCTGAACTGTCAGATAAAAACAAAATGATTATGTTGTTATATGACAGAAGTTAAGAGGCACAATGTCTAATCAAACACCGAGTTCTGTCAATTTAGACCCCTAAAATTACTTAAATTCATCAGTTTCCCTTTATCCCATTGCACTTGTTCATAACATCACCTAAAGCACATTATGCTATTGTTTGTGCAAATGGATCTTTCTTGAAGGAAGAAAAAAAGTTTCTATTCCCCAAATGTAGCAAAGTGCTTGGTATATAGTAAACCCTTAAAAAAATGATGGTAAATCATTACAATTAGAGGTGAATTCCTAAAATGTCACACAAAAAACAGCAGTTAATGATCTGTTTACAAATTCAAAGAAACATACTTGTCAGCTCGACTGGAATAACTTATTCTACTTACATCACATAAGGCACCATAGCGAAGAATAGACAGCAAAGAGTGTACATGACTTTCACTGGTAAAATATAATCTGGTACGAACATGACGTTCAGGAGACAGAACACCTCTGGAATACCTAAAGTTAGAATAGACAGTATTAAAACATAACCATATAATCAAAAAATTGCTAAGTATCACAATTATTTTATAAAATGGAATTCAATCTTATTAGAAGTAAAAGTTCACAACATATATAATCTATCATTCTTCCAACCACAACTGAGGAGTTATTTGCATAGATATTTTTCCAATATGAACTAACTTCTCTAATAGTAATGAGAGAGGCTATAGACCTAAATATGTTCAGACACTAATGTTGCTGTGAGGGGTATGCACTAATGATCCCATGTGAATGATAACACATACCCTCTCCCCATTCTCCTCAGTTTTTTTTCCAAAGTGGCATCAAAAAATCTTGGTTGAGCCAAGCGTAGTGACTCACATCTGTAATCCTAGCACTTCAATGACAGATGCAGTAGGATAGTGAATTCAAGGCCAGACTGGGCTACATAAGGAGTTCGAGGCCACCTTGAGTTGTATAGTAAGACCTGTCTCAAAAAGCCAAGGGCTGAGGAGGTAGCTCAGTGGTAGAGTGCTTGCATAGCATGTGCAAGGTCCTAAGTTCCACCTCCAACACCACAAAAAATAATAACAATAATAACGTCTTGGTTGACAGTTAACTAAAAGTTAATACCTAGTTAATTGTATTTTTACAATATACCAAATGATACTCCTGGTTTCTACATGGAAATATCAAAAAGTAATTTTATGTGCGGTATGCAAAAATAGATGCCTATAGATTTAAACAACTAGCACAATCTCTTACACAGGATGGAGTTTATTTACAGTATCATCATCTTGTGTCCTCTGAAGGTCTGAGCGAATTTTTCTAACTAGAGGAGTACAGTAGCCTTTGGCAATCTCCAGTTTTTCAGCTTTAGTTATACCATATTCCTGAGCAGAAAACACATCGTATTAGAAAACAGATAGGATAACAGAGCTCTGACAAATACGCTTCTGAATTAAACAATTCTAGTGAGACACAAATATTGTATAAAACCTTTTTGGAATATAGGCAACTCCTAACTTTTAATTTTTGCAACTGCAAATATACTATTTTCAAACCATTAACTATAACTGGAAGGACTTTTTGATGGAACTGAAAAAGCAAGCAACTGTGGAAGAGGGGAGGAAGAATGAATGAATGAAATCTTATGAATAATATTGACCTCAATCAGAAAGTTTAAAATGCAAAAATAACTCTATAAGAAAGATAGATGTCAGAAAACTAAAATATAGAATAGGCAATTAACATGAAAATAAATATAGATTAACATCATGATATTTTTGTCCATCCTAATGTCAGAGATTAAAAAGTCTACCATATTTTTTAAAAGCCTTTGGCTAATATTTTAAAGTTTTAACTAGTGGTAACCAAAGATGCCATAAAATTATCAAATTTGACATCTACAATCATTATGAGTTAATTAGAATTGTAAGAAGTTGATATAATGTGAAGTGTCAAAGAAATAGCATTTATAACATAACTGCAATGAAAATTATGCTTCAAAGTCACAGATTAGAAAAATAATTTATATTACAAAAAAAATGTGTGTGAATGGGAAGGGAAGAAGGCAAAAGGTCAAAGTAGAAGAGACAGAGGCAGGAAGGAAGGAGAATATGGTAGAAATAAGACATACACATACTCTCTCCAAGTTCATTCTGGGATACCTCTATTTAAAGGCTACCTCCTGCTAATAGGTAACTTTTACAGTATGAAAACTAAACTTCTTGGGATCAGTTATCTTAAACTAAAGTTTATTTTTCTAAATCTTGCCAATATAGATGACTGTGAATTGGGTACACATGAGATATGTATGCAATTGTGAATGTATGTGTAAACAAAAGAAAAGTGCTGGAATGATAAAATCATCAAGGGAGCATTTTCTTTAAATTTTGTTTTAGCAAGGTATAAGGAAATAGGTGTTCATACACTGCTGATCTGGGTAAAGATATATTAAAGAGTTCTGGAGCTACAGAAAACAGTTATCAAGTAAGTGGGAAGACCTGCAATGACAGTGAGAGAAATGAAAAGAATCTAGGTTTCCAAATACAAAGAATGGGTTAATTAGTTATTCTTTTATTCATACCATTCAGCCATGAACTCTGAATGATAATGATATCAGGTTTATCAGTGGTAACAAATACAGTACTCTGGTGGAGGATGATCAAAACAGAGGAGGAAAAGCTACATTTATACAGGGGCAGAAGTTATACAGAAAATCTGTGTACCTTCCACTCCATTTTCTGCAAACCTAAAATTACTCTAATAAATAAAATATACTTTAATAAAATGTCACTGTAATCAAACTGTTAGAAAATCAGTTAATGTGATTAGTATAAAGAATAAAATGCTTATAATATAAACTCATAATTACTTAACATAAACGTTAAGGGTTTTCTGGAGTCATGAAATCAACCATTTTTTTATTCAATGGTAAATATATTTAAGGTATCTATTTATATAATAGTATAAGAAAATTGATTTTTAAGAATTACTTACCTGAGGGATAACAATATCTGCTAATGCCTTGGAAAGCCTATATAATTCCATTGTATTTTCTAATTTCAAGGAACCATTATGCTGGACATCATATTTTATACAGTCATATATGTCAGGGATCTTACTAATATCGTATCTTCCATTCTTTGTTTTAAAGTCTTTTTCCAACTTGGACCACCTTCGTAACATAAGCTCCAATGTTTCACTATGGTAAAGCTGAATATCTAAAACAACATAACATTTTTTAGGGTATTCAACTTAAAAATCTGATTAAGAATACACATTAAAATGTTGATAAGTAGAATTTTTTGTTTCTTTCGTTGTGACAGGGTCTCAACATGTAGCCGGGTTTGGCCTCAAGTTTGCTTAGGTAGCCCAGGCTTGCCTTGAACTCTCTATCTCCTCCCTCAGCCTCCTAAGTGCTGGGATTGCAAGCCTATACTACTATGCCTGCCTCCCTATAATTTGATTTTTAAAGAGAAAAAGGTATACAAATAAGAAGCTATAGTTATTACCATAAATATGATATATAAATGTTATATATATATTATATATAATATATATAGCAAATTTGCTTTATTCAGATTTATTACACTTGGTTAAGACAAAATACGGCCAAAAAAATTTTTTTAATAAATAAATTTAATTCCCACTTGCATACTACATTACTGACAAGTTCCCAGTTAAGCTGTGCGATGCACTTTATTGTCAGTGGTGTTTAAAGCATTGTGTGATTTGCTGAGTGTTTCCCTGCTCTTAATTTTGTAAAAATATGCCTCCTAAGAAGGTGAAAGTTATAGTAATCCTCTCAAGCCAAGGAAGGCACATAATGTACTTAATTTAAGTGAAAATTTTAGATTTACTGAAAGGCAGCATGTCTTTAATGTTAGTTGGGTGGTGGTATGGGAAAAATGAATCAGGTGTCTGCAGTACAGTACTGAAGTCTGAATTCTGAGCACTCACTGTTTTCCTCAGTTGTGATCTCCTTGAAATCATATACATGTTATACCAAGGGTCTATGCAATATATATAATTTTTGTAATTGTATATATTATTTAATATATATTTATATACATACATATATATACATAGGCATATACCATTAGCACCTAAACATTTCTTTAAATTTGGATACATTCTTGGTATAAACACTTGAGTCAGGAACTTGCTTTATAAAAGATCTTTTCAATATATAACAAACTTTAATAGCAATGCAAAGAAAAACGACTATAACAAAATTCTTAAAATAATACATTTTCAATTCTGAATTTTAAGTACTGTCATTTTGCTAGATTCATAAAATTAACAGAATAACAGACTATCTTATCTTTAGCAGAAAAGAAACTCAGAAATTAAAAACAAATGACTCATTTGTACCAGTAAGAAACCCAAGATGTCAAAGTTTTCCAAGTTGTTAACCAAACTAGCTTCAGAACCAGAGTGAATATGCTACCTATTACTGCTTGACTACCTGGCAATGTTAAATAATTAGATAATCAAATGAGAATGTTTTATTTTCTTTTTCATGTTCTCACAGATAAAAAAAAAAAACCAATTAGCTATTATTCCTTTGCCCTTTGCTAAATACATATTAATTAACATTACATCTAGATTAAGCTTCAAGAAAGAGGCTTAATTTCTTAAAACAAGAAGATTGGCATACCTCACTTAAAAATATTTATACTAACTGGACAGCAGCTTTTGTATTATGCCCTAAGAAAAATATATTTACCTGATGATTTGGGGGAGAGGTTTTTTTTTTGTCTTTTCTTTTTTGGTGCTGGGATCGAACCCAGGGCCTCACGCATGCTAGGCAAGCGCTGTACCACCGAGCTACACCCCAACCCTTACCTGATGATTTGGGATCTTCCATTCGATGTCTGATTTGAGAAGTCAAACTTTGAATCAAGGAATAAACTTTGTCACAGGTCTTCACGGGATTTTTAATTAAATGCATTGATTTTATAAGAGAAATGCTTCCAGATGGAGTAAGCTACAAATGAGTAAAGTATATATTTTATATCTAGTTATGTCTAGTTATTTCAAAGAACAATATACCAAATTTTTCAGTAAGTAGAAAATAATTCCATTCCACAAATATAGACAACAGTCAACAAACATAGTAAGGTCGAGGGGGAAGTAAAAGTCTCAGAATTCCACGTCATAAAAATATCAAAAACTAGCTAACAACAGAATACCCAAAGAGAAAATTTAGCAGAAGTACTCCAACTTAAAGGATGAGATTTGATGAGAATTTGCTATTTTGCACATACGTATAAATAGGGTTTTAACATGGAAGTCTGCCTACAGAACTGGTGCTCTTAACCACTATGCTACTGTGCCTTTACAATGAATTTTTTTCCAATTCAACAAAGGCCATCAATGATAACATAATTCTAAACTCCAGTTTTAACACTTAGCTTGGCAAGTTATTTAATCGCATGAAATACAAATGGCTAAGAAACATAAGAAGAAATGCTCAACATCCCTGGCCACGAAGGAAATGCAAATCAAAAAATGTTAAGATTCCACTTCACTCCTGTTAGAATAGCTATCATCAAGAACACAACAACAAATGTTGGCGAGGATGTGGGGAAAAAGGAACCCTCATAAACTGCTGGTGGGAGTATAAATTAGTACAATCACTATAGAAAACAGTATGGAGGCTCCTCAAAAAACTAAAAAAAGAGAACTGTCATATGATCCAGCAATTCCACCCCTACAGATATACCCAAAGGAATGTAAGTCAGGTTACAACAAAGTTACCTGCACACCCATGTTTATTTACAGCATTACTCATAACTAAGCTATGGAAACGGCCAAGATGTCCCACTACTGATGAGTGGATTAAGAAAATGTGATGTTTATATACAATAGAATTTTATTCAGGCAGAGAGAAGAATGAAATTTTGTCATCTGCAGGTAAATGGAACTGGAGAACACCATCTTAAGTGAAGTTAGCCTGGTTTAGAAGGCGAAAAGCCACGTTTTCTCTCGTGTGGAGTACCTCATACTATGAAAAACAGGTCACACTAAGAGGAAGTCACATACAAGAGGGGAAGTGTAAAGGAAGGAAGATAAGAAGGTGAATATGGTTCATGTACTCTCAATATAAGAATGAATATAGAATTTTTTTTTTAAGGATTCAAAATTTTTATTTTTTTATTATTCATATGTGCACAGAATGCTTGGGTCATTTCTCCCCCCTCCCCACACCTCCTCCCTTTCCCCCCCACTCCCTCAATACCCAGCAGAAACTATTTTGCCCTTATCTCTAATTTTGTTGAAGAGAGAGTATAAGCAATAATAGGAAGGAACAAGGGTTTTTGCTAGTTGAGATAAGGATAGCTATACAGGGAGTTGACTCACAATTATTTCCTGTGCAATGTGTGTTACCTTCTAGGTTAACTCTTTTTGATCTAACCTTTTCTCTAGTTCCTGGTTCCCTTCTCCTATTGGCCTCAGTTGCTTTTAAAGTATCTGCTTTAGTTTCTCTGCATTGAGGGCAACAAATGAATATAGAATTTTTAAATCTATTGAAACCACCATAAGAAAGGGACTAAGGTAGGAAGAAGAAAAATAGACATGAACCAAATTGGGCTACAATACATACGTACATGGAAGTGCCATAAGCTATCATAAATAAGCAAAAATGTCACTTTATTTTCTTTATTTCTTGTGCAAAATCAGAGAACAGGAGGACAGAACAGGTCCTGCCTGGAGGGTTGGTACTGATGGGGGGGGGAGAAGTGGGGAAATGGTGAAGGAGGGTAAATATGATACAAATACTGCGCACACATGTATGTAAATGCAAAAATGATACCTGCTGAAACTATACCAGGAATGAGGGAGGAGGAGGGATGAAGGAGAATGGTGAATGGGGTGAATTCAAGTATGATATAGTTGATATATTGTAGTTTCAGGACATAAGAAAACATGATATGAATGTCCATCAGCAGAATAGACAACATAAACAACCAAAGAGACTCAGGTACTAAGGATTACTGAATAGAAACAAAAAAGACTTCCTATGATCAAAATAAAGCATTGAAAATCATCAAAGATGGATTAAGAAAATGTGGTATCTATACACAATGGAATTTTATGCAGCCATGAAGAAGAACAAAATGTTATATTCGCTGGGTAAATGGATGGAATGGAGAACATCATCTGAGTGAGTTAGCCTGGCCCAAAAGACCAAAAAATCGTAGTTCTCCCTCATATGTGGACATTAGGATCAAGGGCAAACACAACAAGGGTTGGGACTATGAGCACATGATAAAAGCGAGAGCACACAAAGGGAGGGGTGAGGATAGGTAAGACCTAAAAACTAGCTAGCATTTGTTGCCCTTAATGCAGAGAAACTAAAGCAGATACCTTAAAGCAACTGAGGCCAATAGGAAAAGGGATCAGGAACTAGAGAAAAGGTTAGATCAAAAAGAATTAACTAGAAGGTAACACCAGCGACAGGAAATCAATGTGAGTTAATGCCCTGTATAGCTTTCCTTATCTCAACCAGCAAAACCCCTTGTTCCTTCCTATTATGCTTATACTCTTCTCTACAACAAATTAGAATAAGGGCAAAAGTTCTCGCATGGTATTGAGGGGGGAGCGGGAGGGATGAGTGGTGGTAAGGAGAGGGGTGGGGCAGGGGGGAGAAATGAACCAAGCCTGTATGCACATATGAATAATAAAAGAAAAATGAAAAAAAAAAAGAAAATCATCAAAGATCTACAAATTATTTTCAAAAAGGCAACAAATTAAGGAAAAAAGCAAATAGAAATTCTAGAATGAAAAAAAAAACAGTGGTTGAATTTAATACATACAGCATATAGTCAAAAACAAGTTTAGTAAACTGAAAGATGCATTAGAATATTATATGCAGAATAAAGCATAGAGAAGAAAGGATGAAAAATCCCCAAAGAACAGCTAAGACAAAGTGATATGCCCCTAACAAATGTATATTTGGAGATTTAGAAAAACAGATATGCAATATTTAAAAAAATCTTTCCAAAACTGAAGGATATCAACCCACACACCCAAGAATCCTAATAAAGCACTAGCAATATAAAAGTAATCTATAGGGCCTGAGGATATAGTTCAGAGGTAGAATAGTTGCCTAGCATGTACAAGGCTCTGGAGTTCAGTCCCTAGTGCCAAGAAGGAAGAAAAACACTGGTAATGAAACAATCTTCAATGCAATAAAAAAAAAAAAAATTGTGTTCCTAGAATTCTATACCCAGTAAAAATGTGAACAAGAAAAAAAATTGAAATAAAGACATCTTCATATAAACAAGCCAAAAACAAAACGAGAATTTACCAACAGCAGATTAATAACAGAACAATTAACAATGTAATACAAGGAACTAGAAAAGTAAGGACAAACAAAATCCAAAATTAGTAGACAAAGAAAATACAAAACTAGTACTAGAAATAATAAAGATCAGAGCTGCAATAAATGAAATAGACCTAAGGAAAAAAAACAAGATCAACAAAACAAAGAGTTGGGGATTTTTGAAAAGATAAAATCAACAAAACTTCCTAGCTTAACCAAAACAAAACAAAAAACTTAAGAATGTAAAGGAGACATTACCATTCAAACCACAGATAAAGAATCATTTGAGACTATTGGGAAAAATTACATGCACATGCCAAAAAACTGGAAAACTAAGAAGAAATGTGTTTCTAGGAACATATATCAAAATTGAACCACAAAGACATGGATAATCTGAACAGATCAGTAACAAGTAACAAGATTGAAACAGCAATAAAATGTCTCCCAACAAAAAAGAGCCCAGAACCAGATGTCTTCACTGCTGAGTAAGCTTTTAAAGAATACTAATTATCAAACTATACCAAATAATTGAAAAGGAGAGCACTCTTCCAAATTCATTCTACAAGACTAGCATTTACCTGATAAAAAAAACCAAAGACACAACAAAAAAAAGAAACCCGTAGGTCAATAACCTTGATGAATATAGATGCAAAAATCCTCAACAAAATGTTAGTTAAAAAAATATTCAATAAAATCTAATATCCCTTCATGATAAAATCACTTAACATCTTTTGGAGAGAAGGAACATATTTCAATTTATAATAAAGGCAATAAATGATAATCCACAGCCAACAGCATACTGAAAAGGGAAAAGCTTAAATTGTTTCCTCTAGAAACTAGAATAGGACAAGTATGTCCAGTTTTACCTCTCGTTTTCAACATCGTAATTGAAGTCTTAGCCACAGCAATTAAACAAAAGAAAAAAAAAAAGGGGAGGAAGCCAAATTATCCTTGCTGTGGATTACATGATTCTATGTATAGAAAAATCTAAAGACTCTAACAACCCAGACACAGTGGCATATGTCTACAACCCCAGCTTCTAGAAGCTGAGGCAGGCTGATTGTGAGTTTGAGGCCAGCTGGAGAACCATAGAAAGACCTTATCTTTAAAAAAAAAAAAAAAAGAGGACTCCACTAAAAGATTATTTATAGTGATAAATTCAGTAAAGATACAAGAAACAGAGTTAATAAACAAAAGCCAGTAGCATTTTTATGTTATAGTGAATTTACCAAGAAAGAAACCAAGACAGCAACCCATTCCCAATAGCTACAAGTTAATACTACTATTACTAATAATAATGATAAACACAAGGAACAAATCTAAACAAGGAGGTGAATAATATCTACAATGAAAATTATGAAACACTCATGAAAAAGTTAATGACAAAAAAGTGGAAAGACCTTTCAAGTTCACGGACTAAACGTCCACACTGTATAACATAGTATACAGGTGCAATGCAATCCTGTAAAAATACTAATGGCATTTTTTACAGAAATAGAAAAAATATTCTTAAAATTCACATGGAACCACAAAAGGTAACAAACAGCCAAGTCTTGAGCAAAAAGAACAAAGTTAGAAACATCACAACGGCAGGTCTGCAGACACTACTACTGCAGTAACAAAGACAACGTGGTACTAGCATATAAACCAACAG